TTTTTTTTTTTTTTTTTTTGCTCATGTAGACAACATTTTAAGTCATAGTTTGGCAAACATGTTCGGACGGTAGGCAGCAAATTATTCAATCATCTAAGATACCTAATTTTGGCCAAAAGCAGTATTTAATGTATTCTTCATGGATGCACCAGAATGCATTGCGTTGCACAGATTGTGTGAAGGGACATGTCAATTATGAATATATATTTATTCAGAACTGATAAGCATTGAAAGACTTTTCATATTGAGCTTAAATGTAGTGAGACCCTAAAGGACATGGTGATCGGAGGAAAAAATATATATTTTAGTCCATTTTGTGAGCAAACGCAATGTTTCTCTGTGGAACGCAGCACTTTTAGAAGATAAAATATTTTTTTTAACGAACAAAGTTTATTGGGAAATGTAAAACTTTTTAGAGAAAGCACATTTTTGTGGGTGAATACAAAATTTCTTGAGGGACCAAAATCTTTGTGAGAGAACAAATATTTTTGTGCGCTAATGCAAAGTTTTTCCGGCAACGTAAAAGTTTTACGAGAGAATGCAACTTTTTGCAAGTGAATGCAAAATTTCTTGAGGCAACAAAACCTTTCTGAGAGAAAACACATTTTTGTGAGTGAATGCAACGTTTCTCTGCGAACGCAAAATTTTGAGCGAATGCAAATTTTTGTGAGCGAATGAAGAGTTCTTTGGTGAACACAAAACTTTTGCATGAGAACAAATTTTAGTGGCCAAATGCATCGTTTTTTGGGTGAATGCAAAACTTTTATGAGAGAGTGAATTTTAGTGGGCGAATGTATAGTTTTTGGGGAAACTTTTGCATATTGCATATTTGCATATTGTTTCCATAACTATGTCCCCTTAGGGACTAAAGAAATCAAATTTTATTAGTAAAAAAATGTACTTCATTAACTTACATTAACGGTCGCCGTGATTTTGCCAAGTCACACATGATCCTGGACCAACATTACTGTCCAAAAACATAGACCTAACCCTATCCCTACCCCTAAACCTAACCTTACCCATAATTTATCCCAAAAATCAGAGGGAAATGATAGCTGAATAACAAGGGTGCAGAAGCACCTAACCCTTGTTGTAAGCCTAAAACAGACATTTCCTGTAAATTTATCCTGCAATTCTGATTGGTTGATTGGGATCAAGTTACTTTACTAGTTACTTGGAAAAAGGAAATCTGATTACATAACGTTACGTAAAAAGTTACTTAATCAGATTTCTTTTTTCCAAGTAACTAGTAAAGTAACGTTACTTTTTAATTTACAAGAAACTGAGTTACTGTTTCAAATAAGTAACGCCATTTATTGACTGACAGCTCTCGTGTTGCCATGTTGAGAGAAATCGGGAGTAAGTGCAGAGGCGTTGTGTGCGCTGTGTAAACATGATCTTACTGTAGTTCTAGACTAAATGTGAACATGCATTTACTCATCTCACCTGCACAAAAACTGATTCAGTATTCCTCAAAATGAATGAAAACAGTGAAATGCAACCTTAGAAACCTGCAATAATTAAATATGTTAAATAATGCAAAAACTTTTAAAAGTAACTGTTCCCAACACTGGGCATGCCGAGACAAAGCTTGTCTCAAATTGTTAAAAATAAATATATGCTGCATTCTGCAATGCAGAAATTGTGGCTAGTCATATTGCTAAAAAATTGTGGCTGCTAGGTTTTGAGAAATTGTTGCTTTGGCCACTTGATTATATGGCAAGTGGAAAGAGGACAGGAAATGATGAGAAAACCAGACCGGGAAATGACACCAACTGGATTTGTGTTGCTTTGTATTTGCACAACACGCTAGCATGTACACTAGCCGCTAAACCATGGCTCTAACAGAGATAGCTGCAATTTCAATGGCTTTCTTATCTGCTGTAATGGGTGAACTCATTTGTTTTGTCTGTTAAATACATAAACTCTGTAGGGAACAGCTCAGGTATTAGCTCTTTGGAGGACTATTAAAAAGCGTTTTACTATCTAGGCGACAGTTGGTGCTGGTGATAAAATGTACTACTGTCCCCTCGGTCATCAATAAAACAGCACGCGCTTTTTCAATGTGTGAATGTGTGAGTGTGTGCAGGTGTCTGTCCTGTTCTTGGCACTTGAGCTGGAATGGCAGCCAAGAATAGACGTCTCTTATTACTGTTGGCGGCAATCACTATGTCATACATTACAAAGCCAAGGTGTGTTATTACCGGACATTTCAAAAAGCCATCTGCTATTTCATTCAAAAAGCTATTTGGATACTTCAAAAAATGCTGCCTGTTATCTAGAAATAGTGTAATTTCCGTACTAGAGCATTATTTTTATGTGATGGGCAATTTTTCCAATAAACCTCAACAAGCATCACAATCCATTCTTCTCACAGCTGAAATAGAAAATGGTATTGTTTAGAATGGAATACTAGCAGGATGCATACTGATTACTGCGCAGCATACACTCAATATATGTTTGCTGTTTAAATATGTATGTGAAACCGTATGCATTATGCAATGGGAAGCATTTTAAACTGTCCCTGATAGCACACGCACATCATGGAGACATTTGACATCTGCATTTACATCTGCAAGACGTATTTTTTAGTGTTTGCTCGTCTGCAATACATCCATAAGTCATTTCATATCAGATATCAAATAGACGTTTAGAAAACGGCTTTAAGATGTTTATGATTTAGAATGTATGTAAAAAGGACGTCTATCAGATGTTTGTACACAGCAGATGCTTTCCAGATCAAGTGATCTTTAACAGACATCTTGCAGACGTATGTGTGCTATCTGGGGTCACATGACCTCAGACATAAATTTAAGTGAGCAAGTAACATTCACTAGCTAGCATGCGATTGACCTTCATGAATGAAATGTGGTTGAAGAATGTCAGTTTTATCTGTATGTTGAAAAAAAAAAACATTAAATGCTAAATGTTGAAAAAAAAAGATAACAAAATAAATAAATCAACATTGACATTTTAACTAGACGTTGTAAAACACATAGTGATATCGCTGTTGATTCAACAGTCATTGAACCTTGATTCTTGATGTTGATTCACCTGTGAGAGTAAACATTGAATCATACAAAATTGCTGAAACGATATTTACTGCTTAATGGTTGTAGAAAAGGTTAGCAAAATACTTATCAATATCAATACAAATCAGCGATGACATTTTTACAAGATGTTGTAAAAGACGTTGAAACTGTTGCATATCAGCATTGATTTTATTTGAAAAATCAAAAACAGAAATCAACATTGATTGAACCTTGATTCATGATGTTGATTCACCTATGAATAAACATTAAAATGCTAAAAAAAAATGTTGAAACAACGTTTACTGCTAAAAAGATAAACACTACTAACAAATCAATGTTAAAATTTTAACATTGCATTGTAAAAGACATTGAAACAATATTGCAATATCTATGTTATTTCTATTAAAAAAAAATAGATTCTTTAAACTTTGATTCATGACACTGATTCACCTGTGAATATTCATTGAAATGCTAAAAAAACGTTTCCTGCTAAATAATTGTAAAAAGATATAATACTTAAAAGTTAAAAATGTAATAAGACAATGTAAAAATGTGAAACAATATCAATGTTGATTCAAACAGAAACAAAATTTAACTCTGATTCATGATGTTGATTGACCCGTGAATAAACGTTGAAAAGCTGCTGGGTTTTTATCATGTCAGAACTAAACATTCATTTAAGTTTTGTGTAAAAGCGTAATTTTGGTAAGCCAATCAAATGAAGAAAGAAAAATATAGTTGATACTTGGTTTGTCACACCTGAAATAGAAGGTTGAGCACATTGCATTGTGGGATACAACATTACATACAGTGTATTCTGTTAAATACTGCATAGTTTGACAACGTTTGTGTTAATAGTATGATAGCATGCTTTTCCAAACACAGCCTTAAATTGTTTACATATATAATTATGCAACTCTCCCATAGTTTGAATCAATCCTCTAAAACCTGATCCTTTCCTGGCTTGTACATGTTATCAAGGACAGCATGCCATTATATGTCCAAATGCTCAATAGACAAATCCATTAAGGCTCTTTCTCACTGTACTCATCCCTATATGAAGCTTCATTGGCTCGGCTGCACTGCATTGCGATTCAGCCATACATGATTACACCACTTCTCCGGCCTCCTGTTACATGGCATCAGCAGCAGCGCTTCAGGTTTAATGCGGAGCTGAGAGAGATGTACTGCAGAGGTCACGCTTGTGTGTGTAAATGTCTTTTCATGATGCTTTAGGGGAACCTTTTAAAGTGATATTTATGTATTTGTGCTTTCAGCCCCACAGATGCAGCTGCAGATGGGGATATCAGGTGTGTATCACACAGACAAACACATGCCACATGAGACTTGATTCACTAGTTCAAATATAGTTGTTTTTAAAGCAGTTTCTGAATACTAATCAGAAAGGTTAATTTTTACCATAAGACATGGACACTGACATCAGATACTGTTTGTTAGAGCACACAGTAAATTTTAAAGAAACAGTACACTAAAAATGATAATTTTGTCATTCATGTGTCACCCCCAAGCTGTGTGTGTGTGTGTGTGTGTGTGTGTGCGCGCGTTTTTGTGAC